AGATGGGTTGTGTGTGTGTGTGTAGGTGTGTGTGTGTGTGTATGTATATGTTATGACCCTTACCTTGGACTGTAATTGTAAACGTACAACTACCAATATTTCCTGACAAGTCCGTAGCTGTGAAGGTGTAAATGTTTGCTCCCATTCCTAGATTGACCGGAAATGTTGCTGTGGGATCAGGTGAGATATTAGGAACATATCCTGTGTTGTCACTTGCAATTACTACACCGGAATAATCAACCGACGCCGTAACAGCACCCATGTCGGTATTCACGATCGTATCAGGCGGACATGTCAATGTTGGTTGTACGATATCTGTAACATATTACAGCGATTTTATACTAATCAATATTGCACTATTATTTTGATAAATATTGTCTTATTCTTTTAAAAAATTTCTAAATAGAGTAGTAAATAATGCATTTATAACAAACCTTGAACTGTTATGGAAAATGTACAAGTATCATTATTTCCTGATGAGTCTGTAGCAGTGAACACAAATAAGTTTGTTCCCATTCCTACATTAGTTGGAAATGTTGTTGATGGATCAGGCAAGATGGTAATGACATCTCCTGTGTTGTCGCTTGCATTTATTGAAGCTGAATAATCAACCGACGCCGTGGTAGCTCCCATATCATTTCCCACAGTCACGTTAGATGGACATGTCAATGTAGGTTTTTCAATGTCTGTATGATAAATTATAGCAATTCAAATAAACTTAATTCTAGAAATGATAATAAATAATAATGATGATAATAATAATTATTATTATTATTATTAATATGGATGGATAGGTGATTTGATAGATGATATGTTCTCACTAACCTTGAACTGTTACTGTAAAAGTACAACTGCCATTATTTCCCAACGTGTCCGTAGCTGTAAAGCTGAATGTGGTCGGTCCAATGACAAGAGTTACTGGGAATATCTCTGCAGGACCAGGCACGATAAATGGCACTGCTTCTGAGCTGCTAGTTGCAGATATATCACCTGAATAGTCAATCGATTTCGTCGCAGAGCCCATGTCAGTGTCCACAGTGGTGTCAGATGGACATGTCATTATGGGCTTGTCTGTATCATTAATTAAAGTTTAAAATATAGAGTGTTAAATCAGTAAGGCCTGGATGATGAAATGTATATGGTGGGTTCCAAGATAACAAAAAAGCGCTTCCCACACGGCCCAACCCCCAACTTCGATAGCAGCCAAAAGACCACTAACCAATTGTGAAATAATTTAGATAAGAGAATAAAATGGCTCAAATTTACAAGGGCTAGTACCTCGGAACTCCCACAATAGGTAAGAGAACGTTCTATCGGCTACGTATCCACTGCTTATTTTAAAATAAAAATGTATTAAATGAAACCATACACGAGCAAGTAACATACGGTATACACATTCGTCTAATATTAATAAAGATGATAATAATTATAATAATAATAATAATAATAATAATAAAATAGTAATAATAAAGATAATAATAATAATAACAATAATAAAAATAATAATAATAATAAATAATAATAATAATAATAATAATAAAATAATAATAATAATAATAATAATAATAATAATAATAATAATAATAATAATAATAATAATAATAATAATAATAATAATAATAATAATGTATTTAAATACACAAAGCATGGAATTTTTAATACTGTCATCTTAAGTTTTTTTAAGATACAGTAATGAGAGCGTTTCTTGTAGGTCTATTTCAGCTGATAATGCATGTGCATTGTTCTCGAATCGTAAAGTTAACTTAGACTGATTTTTGTTATTTATAATTTTTAGTACAGAAATGTAACATTATTATTATCATTATTTATTATTGATTATGTCAACCAATATTTAAGTGCATCAAGTTGAATATGTTCATTTTCTTATGCTTAGATCTATGCAGATATTCCACATTGTTACGTCGTTTTAGTAGTTCTTTACCTTTAATTAAATAAGAAGTGTTTACCTAAATAATCCATGTAAAGAAAATCAATTATTCAAAAAGATGCCAGTTCTCTAATTGGTAGTCATAGGCTTGTCAATTATCTCTAATAGCAGAATATTCATGAAAAAAAAAATTAAATTTAAATTGTGTGGCCAAGGTTGATATTGAAATAAGCTAAAATCGTGGATCACCATAATAGGAGCTGATGGGTAAAAAAAAAGGAAGCACTTCGTAAGATGAATTTTCTGAATACACAC